CCCTCATGGTAATGGCACGAGCTGTTGACCAGCAGCAGGTCACACACAGGCCCTAGTTGCACTACTCGCCATCCGCCAAGATTTTGAATGCATCTGGACAAAACGATGTCCACATGCAATCAAAATGTCGGCGGATGGCGAGTAGTGCGACTGAGGCCCAGAGTGTGGCGGGACATTCCTGCGCTGCTCTGGACCCAGAGCCTGTTGGGAAGTTGGGAGAAGCAGATTTATGATCGCGATTACTTTAGGGCGGGCACAAACTGTGGGTAGGGGAACTGGCGGGGGTTGCACTTAGCGCAGCGCAATGAATTAATTATAGCACGAACACATACACACAGTGCGGCTCGGTCCGCATGACCCGCCGTAGAGGCAGTGCGCGCGTGGGCGGTCCGTCCTATCTTGTCACGCGGTGGCACCCACACACACTCCAGCAATCCTGGCGTAGCTCAAAGCAAAATTTTCCAGCGTCCGAAATTCGCAGATGCTTGCCATTGCGCGCGGACTCGCTTTGTCGCGGTCGCTTTCTCCTGCCACGTGGCGTTAGTGACAGCGCTCGGCGCGCAGCAGTCCGGTCATTTGCCTTCCTTTCACTTTCGTTCCTGGTCGCAATCGCAGCAGACAATTGGTTTCTGAGCAGTGCATCCAGTTAGTATCATCACCCAGCCAGGCAGTATCAGTAGGGTACTGTGAGGAGCAGCAACAGACAGACAGGAGGGAGGTTGCACCCTCGACGCTCTCGCTCAACTGGTGGTTTGAACGGACGAACGACACATGAGCTCTGCTCTCGGCTCGTTTGTACGAACGCCACGTGCGCGTCCGCGTCAGCAGCAGGCTGCTGGGTGCGAAAGGCACGTCATCAGTAGTCTCGTTTGTACGGAATCCACGTCAGCAGCAGGTTTGTTTGTACGAACGCCACGTCAGCAGCAGGCTCGATTGTACGAACGCCGCGTCAGCAGACTCGATTAGACGAACGACACGTCAGCTGCACTGCCGACGCCGTCATTAGCATTCCTTTCTTTTTTCTTTTTTTTTGACCATTATTCCCACCGTACGATAGTCGCTTCCGTACAGTGTCGGGATCGCGTCTCGCGGTCCAGAGTAGACGCAGCGGGGGGATAGTTGGCGATCCTTCGGGGCCCATAATTTGCTCACGTGGGTGTTAGCTCTCGTCCGCGTAGAGCACGAGAACGCTCGGTTGTGGATGGTTGTGCGGAGACCCGGTGTGCAAGCGAGCATTCAGAGTGTATGAGAAAGAGAAACGAGAAGAGACGGTCACACGGAAGGGCGCGAACGGGGAAAGGTGGGGCGGAGAAAAGCGGGGACAAGGCGGAAGGGAGAAGGAGAAGGGTTGGCCTGGGGAGAGCGGAGTAGAGGAGCAGGAGGAAGGGTGTGCGCGGAGAGAACGAGAGAAGAGGTGCGAAGTTGTGTGCGGGAAGAGGAGGAGAGAAAAGGGGAGGGAAGAGAGGAAGGAGGTGGGAGGGCGGGTTGGTGCGGGGAGAGAGGAAGGAGTCGGGGGGCGGGTTGGTGCGGAGAGACAGGAAGGAGGCGTGAGGGTGGGTTGGTGCGGGGAGAGGAATTGTGTGTGGGAGGGTTGGTGCGGGGAGAGGAACTGTGTGTCGGCGGGTTGGTGCTGGTGGAGGAATTGTGTGTGTGTGTGTGTGTGTGTGTGTGTGTGTGTGTGTGTG